TCCGTATTATGTACTTTCCAGCTACAGAACCAAAGGAAATATTTAGGAATTTATCCAAATAATATAAGTAATTGGAATTGGCATCTACAAAAAAATTTGATTAATTTAGACAATCCAATCTTAAAATGGAAAATCCCTGTGTGTACTGTGCTGAGGTGTCACAGCAGTATATTGCTTGACCTGCCAGTTCTTTAAGAGACTTTACAGTTTTGTTGCTTGCCCTGAAACACCTTGCAGGTAGGTGCCTACACATGGGGCAGCCAGAAAGGAGGGGACGCAAGCTGCTTACACATTTGAAAGTGTATGTTAATAAAAGAAGATTCATCCTCTGAAGGATAATTCAAGCCTTGCCACTGCTGGGCGAATGACTTGCCCATGACACTACATGAACATTTCTTGCTCCTTCTTGACTTCATTCACAGCCTTGTGGCTTTTTCATCCTTTCTGCAAAAGAAGACATTACTCCTTGGAGAAGGTAGCTCTCTCACCCAGCTCCCTGGGCAGCAGGATTGGTTAGGTGTTTTCCTGCGACCAGAAAGATGTACTTTGAATCCTACTGGACAGGGTTAGGAGCTGAACCTTTGCAAAATCTCTCCCTGCTGATAATACAGGGAAAGAATCATCATCACAATTTTTCAAAGGCGGTGGGGCTATGCCACTTCTATGTTGAAAACAGCACAAACCTACATACATGGTGACATCCTTTAGCAGCCAGGTGGGTGGGCACCAGCTTGTGAACCTCATACAGGCACAGGTTGGAGAGAAGCATGATGATCTGCACTACACCAAAGGCAGCATTTCCCACATGTGCAATAGTAGCAGGGGCAATGCCCGAAAGCACTACAGCAGCTGCAGTCTAATAATCTATCAAGGATTTACACAAATTAAACAGTTTTTCTCTGGATTGCATGCTCAGGGGACAGTTTTAGGAACATGGAAATAAAAATTCTAGTTTTAGACTCTACTGCTTCCACTAATAAGTAATGTTCTGCTTGCTTCTGCAAGCCATTACACCAATAAAATATAATCAATAGAAAGTATCATGGGAGGCAGATGGAGAACCCAGTCACCTTGAAGACAAGGATTTCTCCCATGCCCTTACTTCTAAATGTGTACATAAACATGTGAACCAGACACAGTGATTTTTCGTAACACAAACACAGTAGCTACTTTTATCTTTGCTGGAGCCTCAAAACCTGATGTCATGTAAAAGCATTCAGAAAAGGAATTTCTTCCCCATCCTGGTGTTCTCTGAAATTTCTCCATTTAAAGCTGCCAAACACACTGTGGTATGGATATGTTAAGATCCCTGGTCTCCAGGAGCAGATGGCTATGCTCAGAAGAGGGGTTCTGCTCTCAGAAGACTACCGCTGTGCAGCACAGAAATGATGTCCTGGTTGAATCCCCTCCCATCTCCTCTGATCCCAGCCTTCTCTCTGGTGGGATGGGATGAAGAGCAAAAAAGGCATTGGCTCTGCAAAAGCACTGCTCAGGATAAGGGAGACATCCCTGAGTTATCAATCTTGAGATCAGCACAAATGCAAAACACAGCTCCATACCAGCTACTGGGAAGAAATTAACTCTACCTAACCCAAATCAGCACAATAGGCAAAATGGAAGACATACAAGGTACCACAAGACTTCTCAGATATGCCTGTAACCAACTTTCCCCTCTTGTCAGAGGAAAGCATAACCTTCCACATCTGTATGAGTGGATTTCAGAGCTGCAAGATTGCTGTATTATCTCTAGGGATTTGGCACTTACCTTGTAGCCCCCTTCACAGGGATGTTGGATTTTGACCACACATATACATTACTGAAGAGTTTCATTTCTGAGAAAAACACTGGGTATTTTTTAATGACTCTAAACATTTTTCTTCACATTTATCAACCTGCTTTCTGATGATACTGAAGAGAAAATGATTCTATGACACATTTATGAATGACCTTATGACAGGTATAGAAGGATGACCCCACTACACACAGACATTTTCATCCCTTTGCAATCATCTACTTTATCATTCAGTAGGTGGTTAATGGAATTTGTCTTCATGTGTCATCTAGTACAATTTTCAGAGTGCAGCCACACGCTAACATCGATGATTAACATCTCAAATGTGATCAGTTCTACAGCAGTTTTAATCAAAAGGTAAAAAATCCCTTCTCTAAGGACTACATATGCAGTCCATTATTTAACTTGATTGAAAAACAAGTCATTTCGAAAATGAATGTGATAATTATGTTTGAGATTGACCCAACAGAGACATCAGCGAGAAGAGAGAACATGTAGAATCCAGCTGTTAACTGATTTTTGAGCTTCATTATTTCTGTTTATCAAACCCATCCACATTCAGACAAGACCTTGAGTTTTTGCTGTGTGCTGAGGTGTGACATGCTGGTGTGAACACAAGCTAAACTTTCACTTCTCCCAAAAGCAGAACAGAACACCACAAAAAAATGGTAACAGACAAATTAATAGACAAAATTGGCCATTTCAAACCTTTATTTATTGTTTTGCAAATACATAGGAAGTACTTTGATGTTTAGTTTGCAGAGTTTACAGCACAGCTATGTTTTCTATGTTTTTTTTCTTTTTTCAGCGACAAAAAGTCAATAAAATATAAAGTGAAGTCCAATGTAATAATATAGTAGAATCATCATCTTCTTCAGGACAGAGTATCAGCTGTCCTTGTCTTGTGAAGTGCTGTCAAGCAGGGAATGATTTCAGTCCCAATAAACCTTCATCCCCACAATACTGACTTGCAACTACTGCTCAGAGTATACCTTACCTGTGAACGACACCTGTGTCCACAGAGAGGGAAATACTTAGGAGTGCTTTAATTTTTATTTTGCTTAACAAATGAATCTTAAAAGTGGATTCAAAGCTTGCTGCAATTAGCTTGTGCGGACTCATGACATTTTCATAACAATACCAATATTTTACCACAATCTTTTGTCCTCAAGGTAAAAAAAGTCACATGTGACATACATATCTTGTCTCCTGTTGCAACAGCATCATTGCTGTGTATGGAGAGAGCCTGTTCTCCTTTTATCCCCAATTTTCAGCACCATGGACTTGCTCTCTGGCATTAACACTGACACAAATAAGACACAGAACTCAAATGTACAGCACGTATGACAGTCTTCAAGTACTCTTCCACACTCTTGATCAAGTGTGATCCCCAAGTTGAAGAAAAACAAATAACCTCTTGCACAGACCTTAGCTTCTTTTTCCTCACAACATCCCTGTGAGGTAGGAAGAAAAACATCCCCTTTTCCAGCAACAGGAGACAAGGCAGAGAACACAGCTGTCATTCCACAAGGCAGTAAGTGGAGAACCAGAAAACTGGAAATCAGGAGTTCTTGGGTCCTAATTCTTTGATTCAGAAACCAAAGTGCTAAACTCCCAAACATTACCAGGTCATTAGCCTTTTTATAGCCATGTATTAATGACAACAATGGCTGCTGTGCGTGTACCAGCAAAGCAAAGCTCTATGGCAGAAGCAGTATACATCTGCTCCTACCCTCATACACTTCTCCTGTACTTCACAGATGTGTAAATGTTCACTGTAATTAACTAATCAGTCCTACAAGTAATGTAGCATAGGTAATTACAATAGATCAGCTTTTCATTTATGGATTTCTTTAAGACTTGCCCATCTATTTAAATGTTTGTGTTCTTTGGTCTTTTTGTTTTTGTGGGGTTTTTTCCCCTCTGGATAAGTTAACAGTAACTGCTTCCCCCTGTATAATAGTTTTTGTAATTCTCCCCTAAAACCATCATCCATTTTGGGTACTCTGTACAAGAGCTTTGAGTGAAGATGAACTAAATGCTTTCAGGGATTACACCCATCCCCTCAGAGTAGCTCTTCACCCATCTCTGGCCCTGAAGGCAAAGACAGGCACATTTTGCTGTGTACAGCAGCACAAGGGTCAGAATTGCCACTGAAGTTTCTTCATGGATTAGGGAAGAGGCCTCTGGGCCACTCTATTCAAAAATGAAACTGTTTACAGTGAGCTAAAATAGTCAGGTTTTATTATATATAGATTTTTAATCTTCAAAACCTCTGTATGCAGAACTTGAGTCTGCTTTCACAGCAAAATAAATGGTCAAACTTGTACGGAATGAGTGAGTAACACAGGGACTACATCTAAATAGCCTAAATAGAGAAAACATGTGAAAATTAACATGCTGTGTTAAGATATCCTGGAGCACTACAATAAATGCAGTTTCAAGTCTTTGATGCAAATTACATATCAATCAAATCACCTGTATATGTTAATCATGAAATTAGCACTGGTCTTTCAGTGTACAACACATTTCTTTCCCACAGCACCAGGTCTTGACTATAGATTCAGGCTACACAATGGCCTACCACCCACTACCAGCCACGAGTTCAAGTCACAGCTTAGTACTATGGGAATACTTTTGTACTGGCATAATGGTGTTTACAAAGGCATTTTGTTTATTTCTTTCTAGGATGAAGGGTAGCCTGTTATGATACTGACAAGAGATTATCAAATAATAGGGTAAGTGCAACCATACAATGTAATACCTCCAATCAAAGCAGTTTTACTGCTGTAAAACCCATGTGTGGATCAAGTCAAATTTTGTAACTGTTCCATGAAAGAGAAGCATTTAGTGTTTTAGAATGGAAAAATGCTGTACAAAGGCTAGTACAAGAGCTAAATATTGCACAAGTTTTCTGTCTGGTTGCCCAAGAAATATGTCACAATCATTCCACAACACACATTGACTAGGGTGAATCCCTTATTCACTTAGTATTAGAATGCCTTTCTATGTCATGTGCTTAACATGTTTATTACATGTATGATAGGCATTTTGTAAATGTTTCCTTGTGCATCTACATTTTACTTGTTTTTCAGTAACTTAATATGCTCCAGTCCTGATGTCACACATTATGTCAGGAATTATTTTAACTGAAGTGTTTTACATGCTCCTATTTATACAAATGAAAGAAATGACAGAAACCATTATATTGCAGAGAACACTGTATTTTAGTAAATGTCGATTTCCAGTCAATTCGTGCTCTGTATAATAAAGACATATTGTACTGATTTGGTATGTGAGATCCAAAGCTGTCATACTATCTGTTTGCAAAAGTAACAAACTATAAAAATGATTTTGTAATTAACAGGGAAAAGAAGGCCTTCATCAAAATTACTCTGAGATAATGTCGTTTTGCTTTGATTGTCTCAAGTTATAATGAAATTGCATTCCAAACTGTTTAGATTTTGCTGGTGCCTTGACTGACAAGTGGTGCATATTGCTTTTACCCTTAACCATCTGTATTCCCTTCAGAAGAATCTTCAAAGTGTCCACAACCTTCTCTTCTCCTGCTTCTCTGTGAGACACTGGAAGGACAGACCTGACTCCAGAAACAATATTCATTTGGGAGTTGGGGAGGAGCATTACATCTGGAGAATAAGAGCAGTTCACATGGGAAATTGTGCAGCTACCAGTTGTCTGCATGAGGACAGACACTTTTTCATCTTCCTCCTTCACACTAGCCCCATTCTAGCTTGTATGACTGAAATATGAAGGGTCATAGTTGTACCTTGGGAGGTGTAGGCCTCTCAGTACCAACAGCCACACAGTGTGGAAACAGCAGATATATTTAGGTCCCAATTATTTCCACTGGTTTAAACAATTTTGTTACAGACCGATGAAAAGGTTCAGGAAAAGGAACATCCATATTCCAAATATCTCTCTACAGGATACATATATTTGTTATAGATCACTCCAGAAAACAAAAACCCACACCTTTACAGGAGAATGGACATGATAAGCGCTGCAGTTCCAGAGCAATAGATATCAGGAAACACAGAGGCAATCATAAGTTTTACATGTTTTTTTCTAATTCTATGTAAAAATACCTAGTATTTGGCAGAGACACTACAAGGCATTTTTTTTTCTTTTTTACAATGACCATTAACATTTTACTATAATATGATTCAAAACTTAGAGAATATATTCACCAACCCAATAAAGTTGCTAATGTTATGAAAGCAGAATACAATTAGGCTTATAGTCACAGCCTGAGTTTAACTATCTGGAAACTACTTAGAGAGCCCTTAAAAAATAAGAAAAGGAAAAAAAAAGTAAAATTGCAAGACAGTCATCAATTTCTTCCATTTGGAAACAAGCCTTCTTAGGAATTAAGCCCAGTCTGTAATTCGCATTTAAATCTGCCTCATTGGTATTAGTTTCGGTGAAACCTAGCAAAAAGGAGGGGAAAAAACCAACAACAGTTGTCATACAGATAAAGATCTAGCAGTCCAACCCACCATTCACTCCCACCTGTATCAGCTATGTACCACTGAAGACTAGACACTAAACTTATCTAACCTGCCATATTTGCAGTATGTCAGAGATAAACACTATCACAATTAAATTTTCTGATGCAAGAATAACAGATATGTGTGGTGCTAGTATCCAGACTCCCAATTTCATTTATTTTGAGATAGGTTATTGGTGTAAGAATGCAAGCACACTAAAGTTGGGCAAAGGAACCTGTACTTGCACCCTGCACAGTCTTCTGTACAGAAACAGTCAACTGAGTTTTAGAACATGCATATTAGCAGGGGATATGCAAAGGTATACATATACAATAAACACTCTGAAACTACTGTATGTGGATACATTTGATAGGATTATTTGTTTGATGATATCATACAATATCAAATTTATATTTCCTTTTTTTAAATGCCTTTCTTCCATTCACACTCAATTTTATCTGTTTAATGATTATATAGTTAATGAATTCCAATTTTGATTTTTTTGAAAAAACTTTGCATTTTCCCATTTCCATTTATTTTTTTATAAGGATGCATTTATGTATTCTATTGTTTTAATTCATTTACTCACAAAATTAAGTAAGTGATATTATAAGGTGTACAGCAGACAAAAAATGAAACACAGTAAGCCTAAATGGGAAGGTAGATGAGGGAAGAAGGTGTAAATAGGAACAATACAGAGAAGACTTTATAGACCAGCAGTAGTTAACATTTGCTTGAACTCTCACTCCAGGTCTACACAAAACCCCTGAAGAACAGGTCTCCACAGAAGATCCAAGCCTCTTTAATTACATCCTGTTCCCAGCCCAGTGCCCCAGATCAGTAATAACTCATGTGATCTTACTTTTTCAGAATGAAGAACAGTTCTGTGGCTAATCTGGCTCCTAGTTGATTAATATGCCCCACAGAAGCATCACCTACTGCATCTTCCTGCCTCCATAACCCATCTTTTTCAGTTAATAGTACTAAAGAAGCTATTAATGAAAGAGCTTTATACAAGCACCTTTTCAAGCATTAATGCCTCTTTCTTTTAGAGGTACAGGGCTGTATTTTCTGTACCACTTAGATTTCTACCTGATCTTTCCTCCAGCCGCTATCTATCATCATTTACAACCTTATGAGAATAGCCACAGAGGAAAACTTAGTTCATGAAGAATGTGTTTACTGTATCAAATGGTAATGAAACATTTTCAGTGGATGGCAACAATTCATTGATTTTTTTTCAAAGTTGTGTGTGAACTAGAATAATAAATACATTATTTATCAGCATTCCTGGATTAGTTCCAGAAATGTTTCAACATTTCAAAGTCCATGTTACTATGTGCCTCACTTTATTTGGGCTTATTTCTGCCACAGCCAGGGATGGTTCCATTGAAATAAAGCTAAACACTGGAGGATGAAGATAGAAGCTCTAAAATTTGTACTCTGCAAACAACAACAAAGGCAATTATTGGAGAAATTTCTATTTTTTCTGATGTTGTAGATTTCATTACCATCAAAACCTCAAGCATTTTACATTTGATGAGCATATTACATTAAATGTGGTGTCTGCACATCTGATGCTAACAACTGTCATTTGTGTGTACCACTATCCACTTCAGACGGGTCTGATGCCCAAGAGTCTGATGTGCCATAATGTCTGCTCAAGATAATGGAGGTGGTGAGAGCCCAGCACCACACAGAACTGGACCCAAACACAACTTTTGCTCTAACTAAAATGAGATTAAATAAGCAGAAAAATGCCAATGTAACAAAATGGCTTGTGCTTGGAAAACAAGGAGTAATCAAGTCTGAAATACAGAAAGCATTTCAGGACTCCCTGAGTCCACTGCTTTAAATCCCACTAGAGACAGTCAATCGAGTATCACCCTGTGCTAAGAGCACAGCATTAAGTAAAGGCTGAAAGGGCTTAATGCAAACTGTATTCACAGTGCAGAGCTTCAGAGTTGCTACTTTCTTAATGGTACCTCCTAAGCAACATATTCTTGAAATAATTTCACTTACAGGAAGAACACATTGGAAGCTTCAAATACTTTGCTAATGCTAGATAGGTAATGTCTAAATTTAGCTAATGCTCTGGGAGGAGCTTGCCTTTGCAGTCCAGTACACGGCCTCTCAACTGGTAAGAAGGCACCTGGGCTCTGGGGATTGCTGCAGTTCAAGCTTGTTGAATCTCTGATTCCCAACCCAAAGTACCCTTTTCAGCTACACAAACAGCCCTGTGCTTATTTCATTGAATATCTATGAACTGAGCATTCTTTAAGGTTCTGATTCTGAATAAGGCTGAATCCTGGTAAGTTCCATTGACCTTAACAAGTAAGCAACAGCAAGTTACTGTTCAACAATTTAAAATGAGCCCCTAAAAAAAAAAAGAAATAAAATAAAATAAAAAGCGTATTTGTTAAATTAATAAAACTTGCTTATCTCTTATTAACACCTACTTTTTCATTTCAGAGAAATGCAAACCCCAACTCAAACATCAAATATATATATATATATATATATATATATATATTATATAAAAATCTCTTCTTACAGGTTTTTGGAGCAGGGGTTATTGATCAGGAAAAAAATCCCACAAACCTCCATTTAAAAATCAACTCAATCTTGCAACAGCCTAAAAAGAAAATGTTCCTCAAAGGAAAATATATTTCCAGAAAATAAAATCTATATTCTGTATCATTTTGAACTCAGTGGTTGAACTTGGACAGACAATTCCTTATTAAACATACATTAGCCTTGGCAGATGTTTTTTCTATACTCCATGTTATCTTTGAAGAACATTTTGAAAAAAACAAGATTTAAGATTAAGGGGAAAAAAAGATTGTGGTGGGGATTTGTGACTTATCCTGATTATTTTTATAATTAAATACATCTGCAAAAGTATGTTCTGTCATGGTCTCATCAATGGTAAAAGGCAGTACAAGTCCAAACAGATTGCCTGCCAAGGTGATCTACATGCTAGGCTACAGCAAATCTTATTTAGGCATGCAAGATAAGCCAACATTTTGTCTTCACAGCACAGTAAAATTGAGGGCGGATTGTTTATTTTTTAAATTATGCCAGTCTATAATGAAGATTGTTGACTCTAAATCATGTTTCTTTTGACATTTTGTTTTGCAAATGTTCTTTGGGAGATGTTTTTCCAAGTAAGTAAGCAGGCTGTGAAATGGAATTGTATAGTCAAACGTGTCTCAAATATGGCCAAATAGAGCATGAAGTTCTCCTCTCCAAACAGGAGTAGTCTACATGGGGTGAGGCAGTTACATACAAAGATACAGCCATCTCTGAGAATCTCATTTTTAGTGAACTTAGAGAGACATCTGTTTTATTTCAGATCATACACTGTATCTACCGGGAAAAAAGCCACTAGAAAAAGGGGTCAGCTCATCATTTTCCCCTGATTAGTTCTGAGTTAAACTGGAAAAATATATGATCCTGATTTTACAGTGGCAATACAATATCACTAAAGCTCCTGTCACCAATATAAATAAACCCAAGATGTCTCATTCAGTGAACATAAATAATCACAAGCACAACTGTTACTCTTGCAAGAAAGCCTGAGGCAGAGTTTTGAAATGTGAAAAGAAAGGACCAAGAATGCTGCAGCCTAAATAACCGCCTATCACTATGCTCAAATCCCTATTTTTTGAAATTCAAAACTAAGCAAAGAACCTGTAGTTGTTTGCTATATATGAAATTCAGGCCACCAAGGGTCCAATATTACATAACAGCAACCCAGCCTTGTTGTCAAAGATTTCAACAGAAGATCTGGTAACAATTTCAGTGACAGCAGGACTGGGACACCATGGTCTGGAAGCACTCTTTACAGGATGAGTGGGGGAAAAAGAAAGAAACAAATAGTGAGCTTCCATGCCAGAGGTTTAATAAACAAATAACTGAGGTTCATGTCATGCTTTCAATCTGCAGTGCTGTAGGGACTGTGGGCACTCTTGTAAGGAGCCATCAGTATATCATCCTGACACCTGCATGTGCTCTGGCACAGGTACATGCTTTGCAAACAAGCATTGCTGTGCAAGCATTTATGCAAGCCACTGCTTTCAAGGTAAGTACATGAAAATGCATAAACCAAGAAGCATCTACGTTTTTCATGCCCACAGCTCGTGATTTCATGCATGACTGCAGCAGCTGAACAAAGCAGACTGTGCTGGAGTTTGCTTTCTGAAGAACTAGGAAATGGTGCCTGTGAAGGGTCCCTTCCTGATCCTAGAGCAACATATCCCAGGGAGCCAGACAGCGCATTGTTCCAATACCTATCATCAACTCCCAACTGCAGGCTACACTAAAGATTTGAAGTTTATAGCACTCCTTTGTAACATTTCCAGGAAAGCACAGAGGAACAGTGGGTGGTGTTAATCTTTTCTTTGGACCTAATTGTCTTGCCCTATCATACCTGCTGCAAAGCCTAATCTCATAGCCTATCATTTTAACCTTATCACTTCTTTCTCTGAATTTTTTGTTTGCTTCTGCTTTCACTGCCTTGAGCATAGGCAGTTGGCCTTTACTTCGGGAAACACTACTTAACTGAATAGGTATCTCTTGTTCATCTCACCCAAAAAACCCCCAGATCCTTTCAAACAGGCAGGTTTGGAATGAGTAAAGAGTGTTTTCATTGTCTTCTGAAAACAGCAGTCCTTTCCTGTAGATTATATCTATTTAAATGGTTACTAAAGATTGCACTTTCAAATTCATCAGGACGTTACTCCCCAAATTAAATCCAAAAGAACAAAACAAAGTGACTGCAATAGATATAAACCTAAAAGGTAAATTTTTATGTTTTACTTCTGGATGCTAGCTGCTTGACAGGCAGATCAGCCTAAGAAAAACTAGTCCTGACATTATCAAAGTTCTAAAAAATTGGTAATTTTTTACTAGATCAAAGTCAGAAGCTGAATGAATCATTTCATTTTCATGCAGAACTGCTGTATGTGGAAGGTTGCTTCCACTTTAAATTGAAAAATAATAATGACTTCCCTAAGTTAGGTTCAACAAAGTGATTCTGTAGCAGCTTCCAGCACTCTCTAGTTGCAGGCCACTAGTCTTTAATCCAGCATCTTTTTCTTAGATAATTAAAGGTACTTTCAGCAGTGAACAGACCTTTATTTAAGGAGAAACATACACAATCATATATCGTTATCAGAAATGGTCTCTTATGGAGAGGAAATATATGAGATTTCACAGGTTTATTGCTTAGAAAGTTTTCTTACTACCAAAAATATGCTCAAAGCCTTAATAAAAAACCCTTGCACATACTAAATGCTCTGCAGTCTGTCAATTAGGTGCCATAGCCATGCAATGAAACTCTGCAAAAAGGAGTATTTTACTTCATTACTAAATATACCAGAACTATTTCTGCACCACAATTTGTACACTGTCATACTTGCTGCCCTTGCCAAAGGAGGCTTGAACTGCTTCAATCTTTTCTGAAGATTTTGAAATGTTGATGTAGGGACAGGCCAAGAAGAAACTATATTATCAACTGTGCAATCAGTTACACTCTAGAGTGCTAGAGCTTTCCATTAGTAAGGCAGTTTTGTGTTTGCACTGCATGAGACTTAAGAATGAATGTGAATGTCAAAAGGCAGGGACTTTCTGGATTAATGCAGAGCATAAGTTTCATTTGTACAAGGCAGTCTTACAGCAGTGGTTCATGGGTACTACCAACACAGAGGGGACAACTGTAGTCACTCCTGTCAAGAAGACTCATAACTCCACCTAAAGATAGCATGGAAACTTAGCTACAGACAATTAGGTAAACTAACTTATACAGTGAGAAAATAAATATTTATCCATCTCTCAGAAATTAATCAGCTCCCATCTTCAAAGCATAGAAGTTTCCCTCCTGCTTGTCTTTTTACTCTTAGTTATTTCTCCATCTCTCCTGTTTTTCCAAGCTTCTGATGTTTCTGACATCATCACATTATATTAGCCCCACATTATCTTTCATTGTAAAAACCAAAGGTAATCTATTCAGTCCTCACCTATAAATACGAAACTACAACTACAAACCTTCATATGATAAGTATTTGTGGAGAATGTTTGTTCTGACTCAAAACTGTACTGGTTTGTAAAATTACTTACTGTAAAGTCACAGCCAGTGCTTTTCTTGATATCATCTACTGTCAGCCCTTCCCAGATTTCTATGAGGGTCAATCCCTTCTTCTTGTCCACATCAAACACTGCCTATTAAGTTCAAAAAGCACAAAATTATTTTTTATTATTTAAAGAGAAAATGAGGATGTAAATGCTGTAACACTGTACAAAATGATGTGCTGAAGTAGATAGTACTCCTTCAGTAACATAAGATGCCACTTTTCACTTTCATGACTGACCAGTAAAGACTTCTGCTACATTTATTTGTACCAAGAAAGAGAATCTAGAATGTGTTAGAATATCTAGAATTTATTATGTGTTAGTTTTGTGGGGACAAAGTACAACTGTTGATCACTGCAGCAAATGAGGACCATGCCTGCTGTGCCAATCTGGTGAGAATGGGAGGTTCAAAGGAAAGCGCTGAGATGTTCTTTGCTGCAAGACAATGTGTCTTGCAAGACATTGAAGAACCGAGAAACCACAAAATAAACAGGGGAGGAGAATGTCTCCCTCATTTTTTAATTTCATTTCATGGCCAGCAGAGAGATCATCTTTGGCTGACTATACGTTTCTCCAACAGCTATTGCATACCTAATGCAAATGCTAGAATTTTTAGAAGCTAGCAGTGAAAGACAAGATTCCCTGCAGTATTTTTAAAAGAAAGAGAGGAATAGTCTGAAGGAGCAAAGGCTATTCTGTCTGATGTCTTCATAAGATATGCACTCCACCTCTGAGACTTACAAGTACATCGAATAAAAATACCTGTAAAACAATATGCACTTAAATAGTGTCTACCAGAGGGAGATACACAGGTTGCAAGCTAGTTGCTAGGGAAACCATAAGGTCTAAAGTAATTTTCCCTAAAAATAAAAGTTTAGTAGCAAAAGACTGGCAAAAGCTCAAACTTGAAATGAAAGTGAAGTCCTAAGATTATCACAGAAGTGTCCTGAAGTCTGCTTGTACTCTGGGCGCATGAAACTGCTTTTTATGAGGCTGGAAAAGGAAAACTTCTTTAAGTCTTAAAAGAGAAGCTGGGCATAAATAACATTCCAGGATGCTAGTGTGGAAATAGAATTTGCAACACTATGTTGTTGCACATTTGTATCATTTCCTAATAAAGGCACAAGATTTGGTAATTGATGAATATTAGAGACATTTCTACTTGTTTGTTTTCTATTAGTCCTTGCTCCCTCTCATGTTCTTTGTACCTTACATTTGTATGTGGTCAGTTGGTAGAAGACTAATTAAAAAAATTCCATACTTAAAAACAAATATCATATTTTAACATATTATTTCCACATTTTGACATATTTTCCCTTACTTTGTCAAGAAAAATAATTTAAAATTAGCAATATCACACCATGAGAAAGCAAATTCTTCATCAGCACTTTAATGCATTCTACTTGGCATGATAGATGGCTCACAGAGGGACTACTCTATGTCCTGGAAAAAGTAAACACCAAAAAAAAAAGGAGTATGATTACAGCAAAAACCCTTAAGTCACTTATTCTTTGCTGAAAAAATTCACTGATGTACTTTGAGCAGCAGCAGTATAACTGCTCGTGTGTACTTCCACTGGAGAATAAATTGCTTCACAAATGGAATCAAGTGAGGACAAGAGAACTAAAGCTCTCCTACAGCCATAGATTTCTCTGAAACAGTGTGTAATATACATGAAAGAAGATGCCAATTGTGTGCTCACATATGTGTGCTCTGCTGAAAAAAAAACCAACCAAACAAACAAAACAGAAGGACAAAAACAAACAAAAAAACCCCTAGCAAAACCAAACAATGCCCCTTCGCCTCCCTAGCTGTGATTAAAGCCATATTTGAAAATCTACAAGTCAAAGCAAATTTTCAGAAATACTTTGGGTGAAAAGCATTCCTGAAAATAAAGGAAAATCACACTTTTCATGCCTGTTATATATGGCATCTTTGTTCTGAAGGCATCTAAGGGTACAGTTCAGTATGCTAGATGTCAAAACTTTTAAAGGGAAAGTATGAGCTCCAAGACCTCTGGACCTGAGCTTCAAGGCCATATTATCCTTTTGGTGGCAATAGATACTGAACATATTCTTCACTTTTGCTAAGCTTTGCTACTGTTATTAAGGATAGAGGAAGAAATTATTAACAAGGAATCAAGAAAAGCACTTTACCTTTTCTGTAATGATGCGGTCAACACATTGTTTTCCAGTAAGTGGTAAACTGCATTTTTCCAAGATTTTATGGACGTTGCCCTGTGTTTTACAATATAAAAATATTAGTTTTTAAAAAATTCAAATATATTTATGAAAATCACAGCTGTAGCCATTCAGTGTTATTTAAACATTCAATGTGCTCAGGACAGTCTTCAAACTCACTTCTATGGCTGACTGGTAAGACTCTTACTGTGTCACTGAGTGGACTCCTGAGTTTAGAAGTCCTGCACAATACTGCTTAATAATCTGCCCTTCCTGCTACAATGTGAGGACAAGAGAAACATGGAACCTCACTGATGACACATGAAGGACAACAATTAGGGAACAACATTACGGGCAACGTATTTTCCTATCTCATCCTTTATCACAAACAGTATGTGCACATCAGCCACACACAGAGGAACTTCAAATCCCCAGAGTTCAGGTGCACAGTCACTCTCTCAAAACAGTAAATCCAGTTTATTTACCCATATTGTCTCTGGGAAAGTCCTTGTCTTTTTTGCCTTTCTTTTTCTTCATTTTGTAAAAATAATAGCTCAAAAATGGCTCTAGATTATACTAAGTTAATGTAGGCTGCAAGAATTCTGAATAGATATAAGGCAGATGGATCATTACTTTTTTTTGGTCAGTATCTGTAAGTGTTTTACAGAAATAGCATTAAGTGCACACTTCTACTGTTACCCCATGCTTTTATTATTCTGTCTAATTATCAATTTTCAGTTACGCATTTCAAAACTCTCAGAGTATAACATGTCTCATTTCACTATTTAGAATCATCAGTTTACCTTCAGGCTTAATCAGGGGCCATCTTATAGCCAGTTTGACTCCTGAGTGATAACACAATGAGCAATCCTGGAGATTTTGAATTTATCTTTTTCTGTGAGGAACTATTTCTTCATTCTAGTTACTTTGAATTGATCTACTTATATCCTGTTCATCTTGAGAACATCCTTGTGCAATTTGCCTGAGCCAAGATTAATCTGTGCTATTTGTAATATCTTCAGTAACATATTGGATACACTTTTCAGTCCTGTGAAATGAAGTGTCTCTTCGTGGTACCTAATTGAGGTTGAAACGTATGGATTTAACAGAGGTGACAGCCTGACTGGCTCCTGTGACCCTGAGAACTGATACATTTGAGCTTCTTAACACTTGAGCTGAAGATTATTGTATTACCAGCTAGCCTTAAAGTTGAAATGCATTTCCTGATCTTTTCAAAGGTTGGACTCAATGGTCTTAGAGGCCTTTTTCAACCTAAATGTTTCTGTGACTTTTGAAAGATATCCATCGGGGCACTGTAAGAAGAGGAATTTAAATGGAGCTGCATGTTTTTTACCATCTGAATTTATTCAGATTTATTCAGGATTTGTTCAGAAAAAGGAAAAGACTATTGTGTGGATACATAAAACCTTAGGTGTTCCAGTCTGCTTTAAATAAAAACTCCTGTTGTTGAAGAACAAAAATGTCCTTAGTCTTCCACAACACTTTAAAATCAGAACTTTTCACAGTATGAGAAAGGAGTTTTCAATTCAGAGCTCCATGTTTCAGTCATATCCAAATCAAGTGCTTAAAACCAGTCTCCATTCTGTTTTTCTGAACAGTGTAGACAACTCATTTCACAACAATAACCAGACAATTGTTCCCAAATGGAACAATTACCAGCCCTTTACTGTGTTTTGCAAAACATGTCAGTGGTGGTATGGGGGTAAGAACTTGACTTCTAATTCTCTCAGGCAGTACTTAGCAAATTAGACACAAATGCACAGGGACTGTTTAGATGTTAAATAACAAGCTTATATTCTATTATTCTTTTCTTCATACCTATGAAAGAAGAGGCAATTTAGCAAAAAATACATTAAGAAAAACTACTGAATTTGATGTAAGGTCCATTTGCCAAGTGTCTTTCAGTGGCCTAAACATATAGAGTAAAAATTGAAATATTCTTCTGCAGATATGCCCCCTTGGTTCCTGATATGCTATAATGCACAGATTTTCTGAGGCAGAGACTGCTTCCAGGCAGAGGTATTTAATTTGTCATTGATGAACTCATCCTCATAAAATAGTTTAGTTCCTTCTATATAGACTTAATTCCTTGAGATTTTTGCATCATTCTGCTATCATCCACAACTTCATTAGCTGGCTGTGGAAAGTGTTCTTGTTCCAACTCCTCAGTCAGTTATCCCTACTTCATTCATGAGGCAGTGGCAATTCTGTATCCACCTTCTCCATTCCCTCATCATTTTGTGTACTTGTCTGTTACCCTTCCTCAAAAGCAGTTCTTAAACTGAAAATTCTTCTATAAACCTGATTTCATGTTTTCTCATATATCTTCTGTACATCTTGGTTTTCATTACATGTAAAGACTTAAGTAATTTAAAATGTAATTAACTTGGGACTGAGCACATTTGTTTATATTTGTAACATACTTCATATCAGAGTTTTAATAGAGCAGAATTCCTTGAGTATTTATTTGAGTGGTAAAACAGCTACTAGTTCCACCATCATAATTTAGTGTAAATTATATTCTGCCTGTGCTGCAAGGACTCAGCCTATTTCTATGTTAAAAAACTGCAACATATGTACTGAAAGAAGGGCTATTAAACTCTTAGAAAATTTACTTTAATGTTTCACCAGCCATTCCTATTATTAAAAGAAAACAAGCAACCAAACTTGAAAAGGATTAGAAGATCCTTCACAAGATCATAAATCATACAAAACTAGCACAAGAACTACCACTTGCAGCACCTCTTGAACATGTTCGTTGAAGGCATTGCCCATACCCTATGTCTTCCACTGTATTTCCATTCATCAAATCTTGACTGCTGTTGATTTACAAGAAATTTTCATGTCTGATGGTAGATCTCCTGTTTATTCGGAGAATAAGATTACAGAAACTTCCCTTTACTAAAGAGCCAGCAAACACAAGAGACTGTCTCAGTACGTGCAGCCTTGCTCTTTCACTCAATAACACACTGGACTTCGAGCAGGATGAAGGATTGCTCCTCTGATCAGACATTCAGATGCAGTAAGTTTTCAATAAAATACGCGGTGTAAAGAATTGAAAAGCCATGAATAGAAAATCAGCTCTGGAAGATATAGTCATGCCCAGCAAAAGGCTTCTCACTTTCAGAAGTGGCCTCATGGGTGCTATATTTACTTGGCTATTTAAAAACAAAATAAAGGAAGAGCACCTGAAAACTCTAACAGCATTTTTGATCTCTAAGCACTAGATTTCTACATGACATCATCTTCACATCTGACCAAGCAAGAAGCATTGCTACGAAGACCCCAGAAAAAAGCCTAGGTAAGAGGAAAAGGTGCCATTTTAAAAGAAGAATAAAATAAAAATATTGCATATTGTTAATTTGGCAGTGCCTTCATACAAAACCAGAAGAAATAATTAATGAAAATCTGTAACTGGCTCTCCAGAAGTGCATGTCAGGCACACCATGCACAAAAGTACCCAAAGTAGGTAAACATATGCCAAAATAAATAATTCTCTACCTGACCAGTTCAAAACAGTGAACCTATCTCTGTCTTCGTTCTTTTCCTGTTTCAGTACTCCTACAGACAAAACAAAAACTACCCAGCAAACAATTTCCAAACACTGTTTTGGAAAAATATTTTAGCAATAGTAGTTTTATAAGAAAAACTGGTTTGAATAATTATATTGTGTGTGGACTCTAAGCCTCAACCTAACTCCACAATAAGTGGACATTTAGCACAAATATTTATTCAGATCACATTAATACCTGAAGTATATGTCTGAGCAAACGGATAACTCCCTATGTTACTACAGTTTTTGGAGGACTGTGTGATAGTGATGCAAATCATGAAGATTCCTAGAGAATTCATTTTATACTTTCATTTATTTATGCATATGAATATGAAAACTGTCATGTTAAACTCAGCCCTGCTACTCAAAATGTGCCCCTTCAGATCACAGTTTAGTATAAATTGTGAAACTACTATCTTTTTCAATATATATTTGTTTTTATTTTCAAGTGAAAATTAATTCTTCAAATTAAAATCAAAATTAAATTAATTAAATCATTAAAAAAACACACAACTGTTAATAGATTTACTCTCATATTTACATATTTACTATAGTTTACCATGCAAATTCTGACAAGAGATATTACTTCGAAGAATACAAAATTAATTATTGTTGCAGACATAATAAATTTGGAATAATAGAAACACGAAAGTTAAACAAAAAGTAAATTTTTAAACATTCAGGATAGAGATTTTTGTCCTTCAGTACATTTTTTTCTCCTGTGCTAGAAGTTTCAAATGAAAAGCTTCCTGTGATATTTTGGGTGAATTTCTATCTAGAGCATATACCTATATCACTGCCCCCACAAAGTCGTCTCTAGATTAACCACTCACACATTATGATGTAAGGAAGCCTGCATCTCATCATGCCAAAAAATATATTCTATTAAGCTGTCAGTACCAATTTGACTGGCAACTTCAAAGCTAAATATCTTTCCATCATAACAAGTACTTAACCATGAGAAAGCATATTTTTCAAATTATTCTGAGGCAAAGAGTAGAGTAGCATCTACTATGGCTTTGGCAATGGCCACCCCCATCAAATTTGCATGGAATAGCTACAAAAATGTGTGCAGCTTTTAAACATGAAGTGAATGTTTCATTTTTTTTCCCATGGTGAATGATCCACTTACAAGAGGAAAGGAACCATATTAACCTAGCCTCCAGTTGCATCACCATAATAACTAACAGCAAAGCTGTCCAATCCTCACAAAGAATAGCAGAATAAATATTCCTTTTTTCCCTGTTATCCTTTGTCTTTTGTGCAGTGCAAAACATGATTTAGAAAGAAGTGGAAGAGCCTTACCTTTGCTGAGTGCTCCATGGTGACAACCACTTTGGTTTGTGCACTGGATACCAGGTCCATGGCACCCCCCATTCCTTTCACCATCTTACCCTACAATGAAATTTTTTATGGAAATATAATATTTATTATTATTATTATTATTGTTATTACTATTATTATTGCTATAAATAATTTAAAATATAATACTGTGGCTGCAAGCGACAGCACTAGATAACCAACTTTTCCTGTTTTGAAAACTCACCTATTTCATGACCACAGTATTCAAACACGAACAGAATGAAAAGAGCTGTCTCATTCTTGGCTCTATATGATGCAAACAGGAGAAGAGTGATGAGTAGAATGAGGATAGCCACTGCCACAGCTGTTACCCTGGGGTGTAACTGAAATCTTAGTAGTATCATTGGCTTAGTGGAAGCACTGACACTGAGGAGCAATGAATTTAGTTCCAATGATTTGGTCCCTTGAAAAGCAAAGTGTACATCTTCCTGTTGATGGAAATGTCACTGCTTCCTCAAAAGAAATCTCTACTTATGAAATTCAGCAACAAGAACATCTGAACACTGTATAATCCACCTGACAGTTTAGAAAGTCTCTTTTATCACTTTATCAGCATAAACCAATTGTTTTTGTTCTATCCCAGATGTCTGCAGAGGTCATTTCAGAGTATGGGCAAATATATAAATATGGCTCAGTATTCACTTCTGTTTGTCCCTCAAAACAAGCAATGCTTTCAACCTCTGGACTCATTCTTCTCTTAAAGTGTGTTACAATTGAAGATGTTATCAAAGCAGGTGTCTTGTGGCTTGGTGTTCAGCTACCTCTATTTTTACTTTCCGTAGTGCTATGGCATTCAATCCTGCCTGCTTCCATTACCTTAAACTGGATGCCTCTGATCTTGGAAGATAAAGAGGTCCAGACATGACACACTACTGACAGGTAGTTCTGTGAGTATTAGCAGAGCAATCATTTTCGAACAAGCACTGGACTCCAATAACCAAAGATGGCAACAGCCTCACATACCAATCCAGAGTTGCCAAGAAGGAAAGAAAGCAGAGTGGAAGAGAGGTTAGTAGGAAGCATGATACAAGGAGGGTAACGAGGATGGTGTAGGGCCTCCTCCTCCTTGAGGAGAGGCCATATGAGGAGTGGCTGAGATCAGGTCAGCCTGGAGAATAGGAGAGGAGACCTTATTGTAGTTACAACTTCCTCTGTAGGGGAAGAGGAGGGGCAGGCACAGATCTCTTCTCTGGGGTGACAAGTGACAGGACCCAAGAAAATGGCCTGAAGTTGTGCCAGGGAGGTTTAGGTTGGCTATCAGAAAAGGGTTTTTCACCCAGAAGGTGGTTTTCACCCAGGGCACTGGGACAGACTCCCAAGGAAGCAGTCACAGCACCAGCTTGAAAGAGCTCAAGAAGATTTTGGACAATGCTCCAGGCACGTGGTGTGACTCCTGGGCATGGTGCTGCACAGGGCCAGGAGTTAGATTTTGATGATCCTTGTGAGTCCCTCAGAATATTCTGATTCTGTGATTCTGTCAATTTTACAGATTCAAATAAATTAATTTCTGCTTCACATGGCTTGCACTCACCTTTGAGTGGTTATGTGGACAGTAATACATTTACCATTACAGATATAAAACCTAAAAGTTTATGTTTAAATTCCTGGAAAACTTCCTAGTACAAAGCTTTTCTCTTGTGCTTCCTTTTATCAGCTATGTGATTCAATACTTTACAAAGTATCAGTACCTATGGTCCATGACAAAAATCATATGGAAGAGACTTATCTCATTAAACTGCCAGGCCAGCTACTTGTTAAGTCTCTAGATCATTATGGTCTCTTATGTAATGAAGGCAGTTATATTGGTTTGGCATGGCCTGGTTTTTGGTAGCAGGGAGACCATAAAGATGCTTCCAGTGAGAAGCTGCTGGAAGCTTCCACCATGTCCAGTAGAGTCAAATCCTGATGGTTCTGAAGAAGGACATGCTGCTGGACAAAGCTGGGCCAATGAGAGAGGTTGGTAACACCTCTGTGATGGCATTTAAGAAAATCAAAACAAAGGCACAAGGTTTCAGCTTCTAGTCAGAGAGGAGGAGGAGATGAGAACATGTGAGGAAAACAACATGGAGACACCAAGGTCAATGAAGAAGGAAGGGCAAGAGGTGCTCCATGCCCTGGAGCTGAGATTCCTCTGCAGCCATGGTGAGACCATGGTGAAGCAGCTGTGCCCCTGCAGTCTCTGGGGATCCAAGGGGAATGCAGAGATCCATCTGCAGCCCATGGCAAACCATGGGGGATGCAGAGATCCACCCACAGCCCATGGGGAACCACAGGGGATGCAGAGATCCACCCACAGCCCATGGGGAACCACAGGGGATGCAGAGATCCACCCACAGCCTGTGGGGAACCATGGGAGATGCAGAGATTCACCTGCAGCCCATGGGGATCCATGGAGTTGCAGAGATCCATCCACAGCCCTGGGGGAGGTGCCCACACTGGAGCAGGTGGATGCCTGGAGGAGGCTGTGATCCAGTGGAACACCCAGTGGAAGACCCAGTGGGAAAACCCAGCCTGTCTGTGGAAGACTGCACCCCATGGGAAGAGAGCCACATCACAGCAGTTTTGGGAGGACTGTCTGCCCATGGGAGGGACTCACGTTTGCAGCAGGCAATGTTTGGCTGCTGCTCGTGAGAGTGGACCCACGCCAGGGAAGTTCACAGAGAACTGTCTCCTGTGGGAGGGACCCCAGAGCCTCATGGGAAGGACTCCTCTCCTGGAGCAGCCAAAGAAAATCTTGGTTATGAACTGACCAAAACTCCCATGCCTGTATTTTCTCTGCACTGTTGGGAAAGACAGAGGGGCTGGGGGGAAATGGTGTTTGAAGGGCTTATTTTACTTCTCATTATCCTCCTCTGACTCTGCTAGTAATAAATTTCACTTTGCAACTTAACATTAAGCCATTTCACCCTTGAAATGTTTTCTCCTGGTCCTTATCTCACTCATGAACCCCTCATTCATTTTTTTCCCCTTTTTTCTCCTCTGCCCAGCTGTGGCAGGGGAAGGTGAATGAGCAACTCTTGTGGGTGCCTGGTGTTTGGCCAATGTCAAACCGCAACACCTGTATGCACACAAACAAAAATATTCTTATTTTCCTACTGTTGGCATAGTGAAGAATAAATCACATCTTCCTAAGTCTGTAAACAAGCCCTTTGGCATTGTTCAGTCAGACTAATATTTAATATTTATCACATAAATTATCATTACTACTAAATTCTTTGCAAATACAAATGTGAAAAGGATTTATCTCTGTCCTTAACTTCCTGGCACTGATAAGATCATTCTCCATCCTGCCTGGAAAAACACAGCTCTCACAGAGACTCCAGTGACCTCTAACCTGCCTGCCAGAAATTCCATGACAAGATAATGCAGAGAAGCTGAAGATGACATATTATCTCCAGAGTAACTCAGAATACGTTTGCATTGAGGATCAAGCTATCAATACATCTATCCTGGTAAAGCCATTTGCTCATTTTCCAGGCCTTTTCGTTCTATTAACTACAAAAGACCTACAGCAACAAGTAAATTCCTGAGGAACTAAGTGCTGATGAAGGTCAACAACAAACGTACTGCTAAAGAGGCTGTCATACAGAACTGAGAGAAGAGACATTATCCCTTTATGTGTGAAGAAAGAGGAAAATGCAGGCTGAAGGGAAGGACTTTGGGGTCTTAAATTGCTTCATCTGCTCCTCCTCTTTAGGAAAACATATTCATCACTATAGGGTGGTGCCTGGTAAAGCAAATCAATGTAGCATCAAATGCAACTAGCCAAGTAATTACATGCTTTTGTTTTGAGGAATATCCAAAGCATTAAAAACTTACATTGCTCTCAATGCACCTAACAGACTACCACAACTTGCATTTTCCTCCACACCATACTGGGGGCAGCTGCATGCTAAATTTGAATTGAAATATTCAAGATTAAGATGATTCCATGTGATAGATTGGCATTTAAGAAACAAAGGGAAACAGCTAAGGAAGTTAAGGCTGCTGGAGGCTGATGGGAGTTTTTTCTCCTGGCCAATAACTGGCCATTTCTGAGAATTGACAGTAGTTTTGACCATTGAAAAGTGAGATCAACCTGTGAAGACCCCCCTTTAAACTCTAAGCCTTGGAATTTCTCTTTCTCTTTGGTTTCCAGCTTTGAAGAGGTAACAAGGCTCCAGTTCAGCCTCCTCCCGCCCAGGCTGGACAAGGCTGCAGGGGGAGCGGGGCTGGCCGGAGATCTGCGGTTCCTGGGGAGGATGGAGACTCTGAAATGGCAGGAGCCCTTTCCCAGAAGGGCTGAGCCCCCTCGGGGAGCTCACTGAGCCCTGTACAGCAGCTCTGCCAGGCCAGACCGGTTCCTGGCTCGGCTGGAATTTCTGCTGCTGCTGGGTTTCACCAGAGACTGCCGAGTAGGGGGAGGGAAGCCATTGGCTCGCAGCGTGCTGCCTCCGAGTGCTGGCCTGGCTGCTGAGATGCTGGCCACACTCCCCCAGCACAGCCAGCAAAAATTCTTCCATCACAAACAGCCCCAGCCGCTGCCCTGGCAGAGATCATATCAGCATCCACAAGAGCTGGGCAAGATTTTAACCCTTTCACTACCCTGATGAGACTTGCAGATTAATCCTTTCTCCAGAGAGAGGGGATGAGAGAGTGATCAACATGTAGAGAGACAACATAAACTACCAAAGACAGTGAAGAAAGGAATTAAGCCTCAGATGGGGACAGAATAAGGAGATGCACTAATAAGCTGAAATATTCTTTTGTTAAAGCTATGGAGATGGACAATAGTGTTCTGAAAAAACTCCTTTAATTCATGACAGTATTTTGGGGGAATAGGGTATTTCAAAGTGTGGATCTAAGCAAATGTTGAAGTAGTTGTGATCTCATGAGATGCTGGAACAGAAAAATGAAGTGAGAGATGCTGAAGATTTTTGGCCCTTAAGAGACAAAGAGAAAACTTCTGTTTCCAGAGATGATCATAGAGACAGATGAAGAGAATTTTTGCCTCTGAATAACTCAACCTTAAAATGACACCCCTTCAATCATGG